TATTGATGTTTGAAAGCCCGCTCCGTATTCCATTGTTTCTGGGGATCAGAGACAACTCTCAGTTGAGCGAGAAATAGCGTGAGAACCTCCCCCCTTTTTTTGGGGGGTGGGTGGGGAGGGAGAGGCAAGCGGGAAGTTATACAAGGACTCAAACAGAACAAGTAGTAAGCAGAAAGGCAGCGGAATCGATGGGATCGTGCGCTTCTACTTTCCGTGCACCTTCCATGAGGCAGGCCAAACGAATATTGAGTGAGGCTGAACGTAACGCTGGAGCAACGTCTCCTCGACATGTCAAGTTAGGGGTGGATTTACACTTTACCAACTACAATTTCGCCACCAAAATGGCTCTTGTTAGTTCTCGGGCTGAGAGGAAGAAGCGTCCGCCTTCACTGTTAGTGGTGCAAAGGATTCTTGCTGAGTGCGGCGCTAAAATAATGGAGGATACCGATGGTGAGTTGTAAAGGACCTTTACTATTCCACACCGAAGGAGTGTAATAACTGATAAAAAGGGTGCGAGTCCTGTTGACAAAAAAAAAAAAAAAGAAAGCATCATAACGGAGTTTAGAAATCCAATGGGTCTTTTCCTGTCCAAGAATGAGATTGTGGGTGTGGAAAGTTATCCGCAGCGAGGCTTCGCGCTTTTGGACACAGAAGGGATACACAAGGTCTCAGAAGAAGCTCTTTTGAGGAGATTAGGCACGCAGAGCTTGAAACAAAGCATGATAACCATGCTCGCTGTCTCTGATGAAGATAAAGATGAATGTTTGAATTGGAACGAATTTTCGAACTTCTTTCGCCACATAACGGGTACATATATTGTTTTTGCTAAAAACACCGATGCGTACTCCGCATTGGAGTCCAATTTTAATAATAGTACAACAATACCAAGGTTTTCACCGCGAAGGCATCATCAACATTTGTATGATGTCAAGGTTGTAAATTTACCCAGTCAGGCTGGTCGTATTAGGTGTATTGCAGTGGCGCCCGATCTGGATTTGTACGCAGTGAGTCATCGAGATGCCTGCGCGGTTAGTGTTTACACGCTACATGTTGTGGAGGTTCTTCAACGAACTGGATATTTGGATCTCGTGCTGAATATTGCCTTTTTTTTTGATAAAAATTACCTTGCTGCAGTTTCAGAAAGTTGGACAGTAGCCTTATGGGATTCGACTGCTGATCAGCTGATTGGATGTGTTCAACACAAGAGAGTTGTGACAGCTGTGGCTTTTTCTTTCAACGGCCGGGTATTGTACACTGGATGCCAATACAACAATGTTTGTGGGATGTCTGTCCCAAAGGGGGCACTCAGGGCCGTTTTGGGCGAGTTACCCAGTAGGGAAGAGAGGATTGTCGTATCTTTGGCTACCCAACACACTGCGGATGACTGGGTAGTTTTTTCGCGAAGTTGTGAACAGGGCGCATGCGTAGCAGACGCTCAACATCTAAGGTGAAACAGTTGTATGGGCACAAGAGTGTTGTGTGGCACACACAATTTAGTCCCGATGATTCCCTTATTTTAACTTGGATGCGAAAATAAGGTGAACATTTGGGATACCAAATCCGCCACAGTTGCTGTTACCTTTGATAGTAAAAAGGTAATTGCCAGTGGGGATGTTTTTTTTTTAAACCTAAGTCGTTTTTTTTTTCTGTAGCGTTTGGAAACATACTGATTTTATTGAAGTCACCAGGGGAGTTTTACATTGTGAGGATGGACACTGGCGACAGTATGTTGGATACGACGTTGCGGGGGCCTGTGTGTGCCGTGGCGATCGATTTCAGTAGTTAGGGCCTTGTGTATGGGGACACGTATGGAACTGTGCATCACATACAGCTCTGCTGCTAAATGGTGTGTGTATGTGTTCTTATCTTCAGCGGTGCCGCATTCTCGGCGTCACCTATGCCGCTCCTTTTTTTGACGCGGCGCGGATGCAGGAGCAAAAGCAAGCGGGGGGGGGGTGTGTGTGAGCTGTAACAAAAAAAAGGGCAAAAAAGAGAAACAGTTATTTTGGTGACCCCGGGCTTTGAGGTTGCCCAGCCAAGAAGTTTGGGCCACAGCGGCACACGCCCAAGACAGTGACAGCTTGCATGTGTATGGTTCCTTCTTTGCAGTAACAAGCAGTGTATAAATATACATATAATTGTGTGCTGGAACTTTGTAGAAAGGATGTGCACTGAGATGCTGATATGTTCATGATCCTCACTCTCCCTCGGAGTTGCGCAGCCGCGATTCTTTATTTTTATTTTTGTTTTGTCTTTTTTTTCCCTGCGCTCTTTCTCTTTTATTATTATTATTTGCCTGAGCCAGTACTGTTCTTGAACCAATGAGGGGGCTCTTGCCATCGTTTTCTGTTCGTTTGCTTTTTTCATTTATGTCATACACACGCGGTCCTGCGGGATCTTTTCACGTGTCTGCGGTGTCTTATGGTTGAGTGTGCCCTCCCCGCTCTCAAAGAAACGTTGTTGTGGGGATGCGCGAGGTGGAAGCGGCTTGAAAGAGGCATTTCGTTCTATTTTTTTTTTTTTATTATATATATCCTCCACAAATGTAAGAGCAAAAGTAGGAAGCGACAAGGGCTGCTACGCGGAAAACTAGGGTGTGTGTCTGTGTCAAGCTACGAGTACAAGCTCTCAAGCGGAAATTATGTTTCGTAATATTTCCAAGCTTGCCTCGAAGGTTTCGCAGGAGTTACCGTTGCAATCACGCAAAATACAACCAGTAAATTTTTACGATGACACTGTCTTTAGGGAAAAATCGCTTTGGGGATTAATAAGAGCCTTGTGTGTGCTGCGTGTCTGCCAAATCCAGTACCTCTGCAAGAACTCTGTGGCCTTAATGAAAAGGTCAGAAAAAATTGTGGGCCCCTTTCTCACCTACGACACGATCGTGCGGGCAACAGTGTACAGCCACTTTTGCGCCGGAACAGACGAACGTGAGCTGAAGAAGACTGTAAAGGCCCTTGAGAAGCAGGGCATTGGCTCCGTCCTTGACTACGCTGCCGAGGCGGACGTGGAGGGGTTTGTCCCAGCACCTGGTGCGAAGGAGGCGCCAAACTTGTCCATGGCTTCCCTCGTTGACAACACGTCGGTGAAGTATGTGCCACACGGGCAGTTATACGATGAAAATATGAAGCTGTACATCATGTGCGTCATGCACGCCTCGCTTAATCAACCTGTGAATGGGGTTGGCCTGGCGGCTGTGAAAGTGACGGGGATGTGCGATCCCCAGCTACTTGCCCGTGTCTCGGCAATCCTTCACTCGGTGCACTACAGCTGGATGAAGTTCTTCGCCCATGAAAAACCTCCTCCTCTTGAGGAGTGCCATGTTGTGATGGGGACCAACAAGGAACATCAGCTCCACATCACGCGAGAGCAACTAATTAAAGGATTCACCGAGTATGGTCCGGCACGCAAGTACACCGAACAAGAGGTGGAGGCTGTCATCAAGGCACTTGATGATAAAAATGAGGGTAAAGTGAACTATTATCGCTTCAAGAAGTTTGTCTCAGAGGCGGTTCTAGCCGTGGAACCCACATCGGTCCAAAAGCTTATCGTTGATAAACTTCCAAAACTCACGGAGGAGGAGCGCGAGCTTTGGCGGGCCCTACACAAACGGTTATCTGTTATTGTGCGCACTGCTCGGGATTTACGTGTGCGGGTTCTGTTTGATGCTGAGCAGACCTTCTATCAGCTTGCCATTGACAGCATTGTTGTGCAGTTTCAACGTGAGTTCAATAAAAAGGAGCCGATTGTATATAACACGTATCAGTGCTACTTGACATACACGGAAGATCGTGTTTTCAATGACTTGACACGGGCCATGCTCGAGGGGTGGGTTTGGGGTGGAAAAGTTGTGCGTGGGGCGTACATGGACCAAGAACGAGAAACTGCGACCAGGTACAACTACAAGAGCCCTGTGTGGCCGACGTATGAGGAAACCTCTGCATGCTACCAGGCGTGTGCAAAGCGCATTTTGGATGAATTTGTGCGTCTGCCCAATGTTCCCTTTGAGGTTCTGTTTGGCACACACAACAAGGCCTCTGTGCATGAAATATCGGAGACTATTATGAAGCTCCCGTCTGTGAAGGGGGGGGCGGTGTTTGCGCAGCTGTACGGTATGGCAGACCACTTAACGATTCCCTTGAAAAAAGCAGGTTTTCGCGTCTTCAAGTATGTTCCTTATGGTCCTGTGAAGGAGACTGTTCATTACTTGGGCCGGAGGGCCAGTGAAAATTCCGCTGTATTGGACAAAGGCGGGTCGGAGGAGGTTCAGTTAATGAAAAAGGAGCTGCGACGTCGCTTGTTTTGGTTTATGAAAGAGTGAGAAAAGAGGAATATAAAGGGTTAGTAGTGCTGTCATGCTTTTTTGTTTTTAAGTTTATTTATGATTGTGTATGTATGCTCTTTTGTCATGGCGTTTTTTTTTCTTTACTCGCATGCAGGGAAAAACAGAGGGATAAGAGGAAAGAAAATAAGTAAATAAAAAAACGGAGAAAACATGGGGTGACCCACAACTTCACCGGGCGGCAGCGGCAGCTCCCCACACGCCTCCTAACACGGGGCTGTGATGTGGGGGCCGATGGAGGTGAATGCTTTTATTTTTGTTGTTTGTTTGTTTGTTTGCTTGGAGGGCGGCCAGGAGGAGCAAGAAAAAAAAAAAGACTTATTTTACCTTCTCATTCTCTTTTTCGTTTTGCTTTTATTTGTTTGGTTTTTGTTTTTGCCCTGACGGATATTATTAAAAATGACCATGTGGTGAATGCCGGCGGCTGTGTCGTGGCCCTCGTTGCGAGGCCGCCTCCCACCCGCATGAAACGGCAGTCTTTGCTGCATATGCTTCCTCCTCTTTTTTTTCTTCTTCCAATCCCCTCTCTTTTTCTTTTTCTTTTCCTTTTTTCCTTCTTCTTTTGCCCACTCTGTGTTTGTGGCTACGACACCTTAACGCGCGAACACACACACACGTGACAGGAGCTCCTCACAATGAACCAGCGCGGCGGCAGGCGCGTCTTAGCACCACTAAAACGGACATTCTCCGACTCCGTCAACGCAGCGGAGCCAACCCCAGATGTAACGGAGGTCACAAAAAAGCTGCGGAGCTATAGAGATTTTGTCAATCGAACCGTCTTCACAATTGTCATGGCCTACGTCTTTCTCGTGCTCATTTCGTTGGGGGTAGTGGTGGTTATTCCGTTGGTCATTGCTCTGCTCTGCACCATGTTCTACGAGATCACCCGAATAAACCAGCGTGTGCGGAAGGACCGCCAACTTACGTCGATCCTGCTTTTGAAGATTTGGTTTCTTGGATCTACCATATTCTTGGTGACGATTCACAGTGTCCGTGATCCCATGTTGGCAACATTTCCATGTCTTGCGAAGTGGTACGCCAACTTTGGCATGTTTGCATTTGGTTTCCCTATGATTGGTATAGTGGGGTTTGTACTAAGCCTGCGGAAGGGCATGTACCGCTACCAGTTTATACAGTTTACATGGATTGTGATGACCTTGCTATTCATTGTCATACAGGGCGGTATTCAAATAAAAAACATGATGCGCGGCATGATTTGGTTTCTGCTTCCCGTAAGCTGCGTCGTGAACAACGACATTTGGGCCTACGCCTTCGGTAAACTCTTCGGGCGAACGATGCTTTTGGCTCTGTCGCCCAAAAAGACCGTGGAAGGGTTTTTGGGCGCCTTTGTCTTTACAATGGCGTGGGCGTTTTGGTTTGCCGGGTTTCTTGGCTACTTCCCGGAGCTCTACTGCCCAAAGGTGGACTTTCACTCGCCGATGCATTGCGTGAAGGATCCGTTGTTTGTGCAACGGACGGTCGTTTTGCAACCGTTCATTCAGAAGGCGACGGGAAACTACTTCACGACCTTCCAGTGCTCCAAGGCTCAGCAGCACGCCCTTGTGCTGGCGGCGTTTGCGTCCTTGATGGCTCCCTTCGGTGGTTTTTTTGCCAGCGGGCTAAAGCGGGCATTTAAACTAAAGGATTTCGGTGACCTTATTCCTGGCCACGGCGGCATTACAGACCGTATGGACTGCCAGGGAATGATGGGGGTTTTCACCTATGTCTACCTAATGAGTTACGTATATTCTGATGCAAAGTGCCCCTCCTTGCATGACTTGAGCAGTTGCGTGCTGCGGTTAAGTGATGATGGGAAGTTACGACTGTTACACCTGTTAAATGAATCGCTATCAGGGAGTGTGTAAAACCATTGCAGGGGCGGCTAAATTGTATCGCCTAAAAAGACCGTTTAGCAGATGACTGTGCATGTGATGATTATGCATATCTTACATTCTCGTGGGGGTGCATTTTCTCTGTGCATCTGCGATCTCACAGTGCAAATCTGTTTTATTGTGCCAGTGCCCATGCGTTTTGCCTTAATAACAATAATTGTGTCTATTGTCCCTTGTTTATTTATTTTCCTTTTTGAAAACAAAAACACAAACGAAAGAGGTCGTCTACTAGCCATGACGGAGGTTGCAGCTGCGAAGAAGGATAAGAAGGCCACGCAGGAGGAGGTGACGGTGCAGCAGTCAGACCAGGCGCAGGTCGGCTTGATCATCAAGGTGCTCGGCCGCACCGGCTCGCGCGGCAACGTAACGCAGGTCCGCGTCCGCCTCATGGCCGAGGAGGGCTCGCCGGACGCCAACCGCACGATCGTGCGCAACGTCAAGGGGCCGTGCAAGGAGGGCGACATGCTTTCTCTCATGGAGACGGAGCGCGAGGCCCGGCGCCTGCGTTAAGTTTTTTTTTTAGACGCCGTTTTAAATTATTTTTGTGTTTTTTTTTTTTTGTGAAGACAGTTATTTCTAGTTTCTTATGGTGTCTTCTCATCCTGATGTTGGAGACTGCTCCTTTTTGCGTTGCCTTTCATTTGTTTGTGTGCCGTGGGGTGGGGGTGGGGGGTGGCTAGTGCCGGAGGCCCTCTCTTTTGCCCCTGCGTGGGTGTCATAGTGACCACTTTTCTCTTCTTGTTGCTTTGTCTTTTTCCCGGTATTGCTGCATCGGCAGCTTTGTAGTCATGACGGAGGTTGCAGCTGCGAAGAAGGATAAGAAGGCCACGCAGGAGGAGGTGACGGTGCAGCAGTCAGACCAGGCGCAGGTCGGCTTGATCATCAAGGTGCTCGGCCGCACCGGCTCGCGCGGCAACGTAACGCAGGTCCGCGTCCGCCTCATGGCCGAGGAGGGCTCGCCGGACGCCAACCGCACGATCGTGCGCAACGTCAAGGGGCCGTGCAAGGAGGGCGACATGCTTTCTCTCATGGAGACGGAGCGCGAGGCCCGGCGCCTTCGTTAAGTAGCACAACAGCATTTCTATTTATGTTTTCTTCTTTGCAAATGCGTTTTATTTTCATCTATAAAAATTAAATAATAATAAAAAAAAGAGGTTCCGGGCGTCATTCCTCTCTTCCTCTCGTTGCCGGCGGGGTTCACCCCGATGTTTTTTCTTGTTGTGTCTGTGTTCCTTTACCTCGTGGTGTGTGCGGGCCATTCTTCATCTCTTCCTGTTTTAGTTTTGTCTGTTTCTTGTTTCTTTGGTGCCCTGCCTATGCTTGCCGGGGTAAATGAACATAACTATGGAGATGCTTGAGCAGGCCCTCACCATACTGCAGCAGGCAACTGCGCTGGATATGTCGGGGGATACCAAAGCGGCAGATGAGATGTACGTGGCGGCAAAAATCGAGTTGGTGGACGCGGCGCTGTATCTCCCCCACGAACATGCCGAAGTCATTTACAGACATGTGGAAGAGATCGATCGCCGCATCGAAGGCATGAATCACAACCGCTGGATAAAGGAGGGTGGCAGAGACGAGTTCCCGACGTTTCCGGTGGAGTACGTGCCGCGGCCCGCCCCCGTGAAGAAGTTTGTTGTGCCTTCCAGTCCCACCTTCCGTGTGCTGTGGCTGATGCGCCTGCTGGAGCGCTCCATACGGCGGGGCGCCTTTGTGACTCCCGACCTGTACGTGGGGAGGGAGGTATGGTACCAGCACGGTGGTGGCGCCGCGCTCAAGCACACGGGTCCGAAGATACGTTACATGACTGCGCTATGTGAGGCGATTGAGCAGTTGCGGGTAGTGGTGAACTTTGACAAGCTGGACGCCGCAGCCAAGAGCCTACGTAAGTATATAAAGAGATTGGAGGGGCTAACGACGGCGCTGGAAGAAGAGATTGGAATCCGCGCTGACGGGGTTACTCCGCCGCGTTCAAAGCTCGAGCGAGGCATGCGGGGACTATTCCACAAGGGACAGAAGGTGCTTCGAACGTGGATGAATCAGGAGCAAAACATGGAGTTATGTCTCATGTGGGCTGTCAGCACACTCATGGAGGCGCAGTTCTTCGAGCGGTGGATTACGGACTACTCCAACCAGCACCTCACACCAGAGATGGAAGAAGTTATGGAGCTCCTGCGTCGTGTGGTGGAGCTGCTGTACAGTGGTCTCTGCAGCTTTCTGCTGCGCGATATGGAGATCCTGATTGGGCGGTACCAGGAAAAGTGCCGTAAGAGCATCACCAGCCTCCTTCCAGTGGAGGTGAAGTTGGGGGACACGGCTAGTTGAACGCTGACAACACACGAAGTATTCTTTTGTTTTTGTTTTGTTTTGTTTCCCATTTTTTCTGTTTTTCTTGTCTTGGCTTGGCTGCCCCTCACAGTGCCACCCCCTCACGTAAGATGGACGTCATACATGTATTTTTTGTGAAAATGGGCCCATGGCTTTCTCCCTGCTTGTGCGCGGTGGGGGTTGTGGGACTTCCGCCTCTGCCTGTTCACCGGCTGTATCTCCGTTCTCAAGCGTGCACTGCCTCCCCCTCCTTTTTCTTCTTTCCGCCTCAGATGCAGAGGCAGCAGCTGACCTTGGATGCCGCCTACAAGTTCACGCTCTGGTACACGCTGTTGTGTGAGGCCCAAGACAGACAGGCTCGACCGGCCGAACGTTGGGGTCGCGACACGTTTGTGCGGCATATCGCCTCGTCAATGTTCAAGGCCTCACTTCCTCGCAAGGCGCTGAAAAGCTGTTGCTTGTCCGGGGCGTGTGGTAGGACATCGTTGACTCACACGAGCGTGCACTTTGGGCGGCCTGAAGTTTGCCCCGCGCCTGGCGAGCGCGATGATGTGTGCCAGTGCTTGGCCCACGCAACGGCGTGTGTTGGGCGCCCGGTTCGCCTTGCCGTGATGGACTACGTCTCCTCGGCCTCGCTCACCGGGGACCGCTACGAAGGTTTGCGCTGCATGCTGCGCCACATGACGCTCCAGAGCGTGACGTTTTCAGGCGTACCGAATCTGCACGACGCCCAGCATGTGGTGACAGAGCTCAGTCAGGCACTGCCGGCTCAAGCGGGGAAGCTTGGTCGCCTCAGCGTTGGCGGCCTTCCAGCTCACGTCGCGATCTCCGCGCTTCTGTCCACCATGACGATGTTGGACTGTCTGACGGAGGTGCGTCTTGAGGATTGCGGCATACATGATGTTGGGGAGATTCTCTCTTACTTGCGGGTGACACGGCACTTGCACCGGCTTTCGTTACGTGGCAACCACGGGATAACGGAGGGAGTGGCGCGACTGGGCGAAGCCGTGGCCGCCTGCCCCTCTTTGCTCTTTCTTGACCTGGGGCTCTGCCGCATGCGGGACGAGCAACTGCGTCGGCTCCTCAGTCATCTTCACGACTTTGTGTGGCGAGTCTCCTTTACACTGGACGTGTCCAATAATGTCCTTAGCAGCCTTGCCTTTGAGCACCTCCGCGGCGCCCCTGCGGCGTTTCGGGAAGCCGTGAGCGAAGTGGACCTGAGCGGGCACAACTTGGAGGGCTGCGGGGGCGTGGCATCCGCCATGCTTGCGGAGCTCACCGCACTTCGTGGGATTTTGCTGAATCAGTGCGCCCTGACCCCCCGCGATGTACAGCGACTCTGCAGGGTGCTCAGCCAAACAAAACGAGGCTGGCGCCGCTTGTCGTTTCGCGGCAACGGCTTTACTGCCCACGACGTCAAGCGTCTGGCGTTCGTCTCGCTTGCCGCGGAGTCTTCCCTCTGTGTGGCGGGCAACAACATCGGTACCGGCGTCCAGAAGCTAAACCTGCCCTTTGTGCTGCCCTTTTTGTGCGAGCTCGACCTCTCTCTTTGTGAGATCAAAGACGAGGGCCTGTTGCAGCTGGCCAATGCTCTTGAAAAGGCGCAGCCCCTTTCGTTGCGTGTGCTGCGGTTGGACGGCAACGACATTGGAGTCGAGGGGAAGAAGGGGTGTGGGGGGCTGCAATTTCTCGGAAGGGCTTTGCGGGCGAGTTACGCCCCACGCCTCGAGGTGCTCACCCTCGCCCACAACAGGCTCTTGCTGCGGCCTCTTCTGACGTTGGTGGAGCAGGTTTCAGCCACGCTGCGAGAACTGCACATCTCTTACTCTTCCATCGCCAACGACTACGGTGAGGTGATGCATCTTGTTGGGGCCATCATTCAGCGCCAAAAAGGGAGCCATGGGTTCGAGCAGCTTGACCTCTGGGCACTATGCGCGGCTGACGCCGACGTTGCCTGTGGTGGCGAACTGAAAGCGTGGCTTGAGGCTCAACGGCCACTTCGAGTTTTCATGGGGACTGGGTGATACTTTCCTTTCTTCCTTTTTAGTTGTGAAGCACACACGCACAGAGAGAGAGAGAGAGAGAAAGAGAAAAACAAAAACAAAAACAAAAGAAGAAGAGAGATACATTATACGTGTACTGATTGTGCTGCAGGGCCCTTCGTGGTATTGCGCGAATACATGCGAACGATGCGTGTGTGCACTATTGCTTTTTTTTTCTTTTGCTTCTTTTGCTTCCGCTTAGTTCCACCAGGCGTTGTGCTTAGGCGTATCTGTGGGGCGGCATGGAGGCCGGCCGGACACGGTGGGTGCCAGTCGCGGTGCTGCTTTGTGAGGAGCTGCGGCTTGTGGAGGGCGTTGTAGTGGGACGCAGGCGGCGCCGCGTGTACCGGCACCACGTGTTCTTCCGCGCCCTCCTCACACTGCGCGACGCACTGGCGAAGGCGCTGCCGTCCTTTGCCCAACACGGTCCCGCACCACCGCAAAGGATGATCACGCGAATCCTCGCGCTCGCCGTGCGGTGCGGGGAGGCGGCGACAGTGGAGTTGAGTGCAGCCCGCGTCGACACCTTCGCTCTCGCAGCGCTCGTGCTAGCGATCGCGTCGCGCGTCGGATGCCTCTTCGGTGCCCTCTCCGTACGTGAGCAGGGCGCGTTCGCCGACTTTCTTTCGGCAGAGGAGGAGGACAGCGGAAGGCTGCAGAAGAAGCGGGGTGCGCGGTTCCTCGTCGCACAGCCACAGCGCCGGCAGAAGCGCTCGCGTTCATTTGAGGGTGCCGTGCCGCTGCAGCGGCCGACTATTGGGGGCATCATCGAGACAGTGCTGCAGTGACCTTCACACACGTGCCGGATGAGGCATGCGTGCAGCATCTACCTTTGTTTCTCTTCCTTGCTTGCGCCTCTGCGCCGGGGTCAACAGGTGCGGTTCCCGCACGAACTCTCCACGACTGCGAGGTGCCTCCTTCGCCCATCCCCGTCCATCCTGATGCTGCTGCTGCTGCTGCTGCTGCCTTTATTATTATTATTTTTTTTTAAATGTTCGCTGCACCTCTTTTTTGCTTTTGTGATTGCGTTTGCTGCTCTGCGAAAAAGAACTCTGCAAGGGTGATGTCGTCGTCGGCCCTGGGCGGCTTCAAGCGCCGGCCTCCCAAGACCCTCAAGACCCGTCACGCCCTTAAAAAGTACGAGCCGAAGGTCGTGGAGAACCCGAAGCGGATCCTTTTCCTGCGCGGGGCGCGGACAAGCAGCGTGGTAAACGAGGCCATGACGGACCTCGCCGCCATCACGAAGCCGTACAACAAGAAGCTGAAGAAGCGGAACGGCTTTCACCCTTTTGAGAGCCGCGAGCATCTCGAGTTTCTCGGCTTCAAGAACGACTGCTCCCTTTTCTGCTTCACCAGTGACAGCAAGAAGCGGCCGCACAACCTTGTACTGGGCCGGCAGTTCGACTTCCACGTGCTGGACATGGTGGAGCTGGGCATCGTGGCGGCGGACCGCCTTGACCTTGAGCGCGTGAAGGGGATGGAAGTGGCGTCGCTGGGCGGGAAGCCTCTCTTTGTGTTTGAGGGCAGCGAGTTTGCTGCGGACCCGATGTTCATGCGCCTCAAGAGCCTCCTCATTGACTTCTTCCGCGGCAGTACAGAGACGGAGATCAACCTGGACGGCTGCGACCGCGTCTTGGCCTTCTCGCTGCGGTCCGAAAACGGCGAGGACGCATGCGTGGCGCCCTCAGCGGAGTGCTACAGCAGCGGGCCGCAGCAGGAGCGAGGAAACACGGTGCTTTGCATGCGTCACTACGCCCTGCAGAAGCCGAGCACCGCAGCCGGCATGCCTAGGAGCCTGAGCAGCAACATGCAGCTCGTGGACATCGGCCCCAACTTTGACTTTGCGCTCCGCCGTGCCTCCTTCGCAACTCCGGCGGAGTTTAAGGTGGCCACCCGCGTACCGCGGGAGTTGCTTGCGACGCAGCGCTCCACTGCAGAAAACGTCAGCAGCGACGCCCTCGGGAACCTCCGCGGCCAGCTGCACGTCGGCAAGCAGGACGTGGGGCAGCTGAACCTCCGCCGCTTCAAGGCGCACCGGAAGACGCAGCGGGAGGCGGACGGCGAGGAGGCGACGCGGAAGCGCCGCCACCGGCGCTGCAGTGGGGCGGACGCTGACGACGAGGCGCGCCCCGAGACGGACATATAACTTGATGAAGCACCGCAGACGGGAGGGTGGGGTGAAGGCGGATGACAGAGGAAGTGTTTGAGAGAGGGACAATAAAAAAAAAACAAAACAAAAACAAAAAACAGAAAGAAGAAGATGCGGAAAAGGACGGAGGAATAGTGAGAAAAGTTCGGCGGGAGGAACAGAAGTAAAGCCCACAGAAACAATAACAAAAAGAAAAGTAGAAAAAAAAAGACACCGACACCACCCATGACGGAGAAGCATGAGACCCAAAAAGCGGATTTGCGGTAACTTTTTTTTTTCTTCTTCTATCTGTGTCCCCCTCTCTCCCTTTCCGCCTGCCAACCCCTCGCTGGCGCCTGCAACTGCGACTGGCCGCCCATCCCTCCCTCCCCCACGCTGCCTTACATGAAGGAGAGAGCATCAAACACACACATAAAATTAGTAAATACCCACACACAAACATATAGGAAGTTTTCTTTAGAGGCTGTGACGTTCCCAATGCCACCGCGATTTTTCTCCGCCTTTCTTCTTGGCGGCGTGACGAGCCTTCTTGCGAGCGGCTCCGCGTGCGCCGCTGGGGTCTACGCGAGCCCGTACCCGCAGAATGCACGGAACTCGGTGGTCTACCTTGACACAGCGTTGCAGGAGGGCTACTCCTGGTTCGGGTCGGACGCGACGAAGCCGATAGGGCGCGTGGAGGTGGAACTCTTTGACGACACGGTGCCCATCACCGCGCGCAACTTCCGTGAGCTTTGCCGCGGCTACGACAAGGCCACACCGGACGGGAAACCGCTGCACTACAAGGGCTCCGTCTTCCACCGCATCATTCCCGGATTTATGATTCAGGGCGGCGACATCACCAAGGGCAATGGGACGGGCGGCTGCTCCATCTACGGTGTTCGCTTCAAGGACGAGTCCTTCGACGCAAAGGCAGGGACTCACAAAGGGCCAGGCATTTTGTCCATGGCAAACGCCGGGCGCAACACAAACGGCTCGCAGTTCTTCATTTGCACCGTTTCCTGTCCGTGGCTGGACGGCAAACACGTCGTCTTCGGGCAGGTGTTGCGCGGGTTTGACCACGTAAAGGCCGTAGAGGAGCTCGGAACACCACACGGCAAGCCAAGCAAGACTGTCATTGTCTCTGACTGCGGGGTACTAAAGGAGGTATCGTAGCTCGAGTTTCCACACTCCCAATAGCGTTGGGATGCAAGAGTCCATCCTTCTCTTCATTTGTCGTTTTGTTTCATTGCTTTCTTTTTTGACCCTTGCGCTCGTTGAGGCGAGGAGGACCGCAGCTTTCTACTAGCGCGTTATACACACCATCCTGTTTTTTCTTTCATTTTATATTTTTTTGGTGTCTTGCTGAGAGGCGCTAGGGGCCACCGACAGCGGGGACGACAATGCTTGCAGTTATGCTGGTGTGTTTTTCTTCTTCCTTACTTCTCTTGTACTCACGCGCGCGCGCGGAAGGAGTAAAGCGATTAATCACTACTCGTTACTGTGCACTTTGAAGGCTCTGCAGCTTCAACCAGCAACACACACACACAATTGTTGAGGCCTGAGCTGATCCAGCACAAGGAGGGAAGGGAGACAGTGAGTGAGCAGTAACACATGCTTAACATGTCCCGGCACCTGTTTTCTTTTTCGGTGCTTCTTCTCTGCGTGCTGTTGTTATGCTTTGGAAGTACGGCTGTGCACTCTGAGGAGAGAAGTACGCCAAAAGACGTGGAGCCGCCAGAGGCTATCGATCTTTTTGTGCCTAATCGAACGATTGTGGGAACACGTGCTGGAAGTTGAACGAGGGTCTTCTTTGTCTCACCTTCCCTTGCCAGTGCTGGTGAAGTTTTGGTTGCACTTGCCAAGACCCAGGCCAGAGCTCTATCCTCCGATAAATATCGTACTTCGATCGTTTATGCTGATGCTGTGGCGGGGTACATTGACCCTGCGGAGAACTGGTCGTCTTTTGTCGCTAAGGTTCGTGCAAACAATGGAAGGCGTACGACATCTTTAACATGACCACGCAAGAGGA